ATGTATGGAATGTTATAGAGCTGTAAGAGCCCCTAGTAAAATGATTTTTTTTAAAAAGAGTTACAGTCTTGGAAACTCATGGAGTCATTCTACCCCGTCCTCCACGGGTGCTGCCGGTCAGCATCAGCTCGACGGCACTGAGTGACTACCTCAATAAGTCATAAGTATGAAAAACCAAACATTTCTTGTACATTTTTTGGGGTGTGATTCTTCAAAATCTGTGTATGCTCAAATTATGAAAAGAGAAGTGTTATTTAAAAGGAGCCAACTACAGACAAATGCGTCAAACTGAGACGTATCAGATATGACCGGAAGAATCAATGGGAGTATCCACAGGTTTGACGTTCACGCCCACTTCATTCATCCTGAGCCTGGAGTCCAGGCTGTCCGGGTCTCTTGGGACCCTCACTGGACAATCTGTCAGCTGATCTCATCCCTTACCGGCCTACTGGCACCGCTTCCTATTGGTCTCTCAATTGATTCACTCTAGCTCCCTTGTTTGCACAGCAACTAGAGCGATCTTTATTGAAAAGCAAACTAGATCAGGTCAGGATCCTCTCACTGACCAAACCCCAAAGGATACACTTACTTGCTCACTTATCCCTTTCCTTACACACACACACACACCCCCCAAAGGATACGCTTACTTGCTCACTTATCCCTTTACACACACACACACTGAGCTAAAAAAGCTCACTGCTCACCAGTCAATGCCCACCCACAGCGACTGAGATATAGTCAACTCATTCGGCCCAGGTGCCAGGCGCCCGTCTGGCCTCCGGCTGTAGCTGTAATCACACTCTGGAGGGCGTTCCAAGCTCTCCTCTCGAACAGGATGAAGGGGAGATCAGGTCTCCACTCTAGCAGAAGGTGTGAAGCAGGCCATCACCTTTGATTCTTTGGTGGGATGGGCTGATGAATGACAAACACCACACTTCCATTCAGGTCATTCCTCCGTGTGAGAGCCATCTGGAGAACAGAGAGAAATCCCAGGACCGCGAGAGGAGGCCCACGTTCACGGGCGCTGTCTGAAGTGGGAGGCCCAGATCAGAGGCGCTCGACTGCAGCAGAGAGATCGTGGGACAGCACAGAAGAGCTAGGGCCGGCCCAGAGGTGGAGGCAAGAAGACTGTGAGGCGGAGCCGAGGAGCACTGTGTGGACTGTGAGACAGTGGGGCAGGGGAGCAGGCCCTCCGTGACCCCATGGGCAGAAGCAAAGGGCCACGTGGGCTGAGAGGCGGAGGGTGGTAGAGCACTTGGCTGCTGGCTGAAGGGCAGCGTGGATGGGGACAATGGCTTTTTCCTTACTATTTACTGATCCTGGCTTGTGGCAGCTTGTCAAGTTCCCTAAGGAATCCCTCATCTTGACAGCTGTCCATGAGCCCTGGGTGGCCACTGCAAGGAACTATCGGACCCAGCACAACAGAAAGGGTGCCGCGGGTAGAAGTTGGTGTTGGAGAGAAAGAAAGATGGAGGGTGGAGGTCTGTCTGACCTCGGCCTCTTGGCAATGAGAAAGCCCGAGAAGGTCTCAGATACAGCCCCTCCATGCCTTCTCTGCAGTGACCCTACGGGGCAGAGAAGAGCCGTCCCTGCCAGTTCCCAAGAGTGGGAGTAGAAAGCCTCCTCTTTCACCCTCGGAGTGACTGATGGCTTTGAACTGCTCAACATAACGGTTCTAGATCTGCGACACCACTGTATAACACACTACACCCACCAGCGCTCCTTGACACCACACACACACACAGAGTTTAACATCTTGAAACTCCATAGGGGCTTCCTACTGCTCTTCGGATAAAGACCTATGGAGCCCTGCACAGAGAGGGACCCGGTCTGACCTTCAGCCTGGAAGCTCCGCACCTTCCCCTTTCTCTCCACTCTCTCCGGTCTGGCTTCTCTCAGTTCCGCACACAGAACAGGGTCCCTCCACTGCTTCCTCCTCATCTCCCTCGCCCCAGCCCCCAGCCGGCCCTTCTTCACCTGCACTTGGTGGAGAACCCATTCTTCCCCAACTCCACAGTGGAGCCGGGACCTTCTGTCCCGGCCCAGCAGTTCCCTTTCTCCACGGCACACGAGTTAGACGCCGCTGTATGGCCACCCGAGGAAGACCAGCGGTTCTCAACCTGAGGGTGGCCACCCATTTGGGGGTCAACCCTTTCACAGGGGTCACCCAAGTCATCACAGTAGCAAAATGACAGTGATGAAGTAGCAACGAAAATAATTGTATGGATGGG